AGCTTTTCGGGTGTGATTTTCGTATTTGTTATTGTGTGTGTTTGATTGAGTGCTTGGAATGAATGAATATTTTATATTATTAGAGTCCCGTATTGCTTTCGTCCGGTTAACTGGTGTTTCTGTCGCATTTAAGTATTGCGGGGAGGGGTTATTACTAACATTATTTTTTGGGGCTTTCTTGTAAATAGCTTTGTTTTCATATTGTACATACACATTGGGGCTAAATTTTAAATTGTTGTTTTATGCCCCCCCCCCTACACACATACAATGAATTATATATATGGGGACTAGTTAGATCTTCATGGAGCTTCTAAGGTATTATGGTGGATGAAATAAGTATAAGTAAGAATGCGTTGTTTTGGTGTAAAGAATAGTGTTGTATATTTGGGTCAGAGTTTGTGGCTAGATAAGTTTAACGTTGAGACGGAATAAGACCGTCCTTTTCCTCATTCCTCTTCTTGGCCTCGTGCCACATTTTGTAAATATTACAAGTAAATAATGCTCTTCGCTATTGTACCTAGACGTTTTGAATTTAAGCTCAAAACAAGACTGGTGTCGGGATCTCATCAATTTACAATTGAGCTGGCTAGATGTAACCGTAAATTCTATGCTAACAGTTTCTTTTCTCGCACTTCTCGTTTGTGGCACTCCTTTCCGGCTCCATGCTTTCCAGCCAACTTTAATCTACACAAATTTAAATGCAATGTCAATTGCTATCTACTATCCTCCTGATTACTCTTTCCTTTCTCTCCCTCTATAATTAATGCTTCTGTTCTTAATTCTTCTACACCCTGTAACCTTTTGTGTCTTAGTGGCTTTAATGTCTTGCTTGTGGAACTCCTTTTCAGCTCCATGCTTTCCAGCAAAATTTAAATGGGATATCACTCGCTGTCTACTGTCTTCCATATTACTCTTTTCTCTTCCCGCTAATTATTAATGTTTCTGTTACTAATTCTTTCACACTCTGTAACCCCTTGTGTCTCAGTGGCTTTACTGCCTTGCATGGAGTGAAAAGATTAAAAAAAGAAAAAAAAAAAAGAAAGAAAAACTATCTAAATGAACGAAATCTTTAAACATCTTGTCCACAACTAATTCTACTCGATAAAAAAGATAGGATTCAAAATAAATTCGTTATCAGTAATTGCTAAAATATGGAAAGATTGCAAATATCCCAAACTACAGTGATTAACAATCGTTAGGGACAAATAAAAGTATACTGAACTTTTATATGATATCAGTTCTCCAACATGGGCACGTGGACGAGTAATCCTGGCTATAAGACCCGGGTTCGAATCTCAACATAGTCGATTTCTCAGAAAGGAGATTCTATCGAATGTTATCGGATGGTGTTATCGGACTGATTTGGAAAGGGTTGACCTAGGCGTTGTGAGTGAAATCGGGTAGACGGAACTCTTGGGAGCCGTCGATAGTTGTGCTAGCACGAAGTCACAAGTCATCGTGGCCGAGGGCTTGAGCGTGCTGACCTTGTTCAAATTGTTGATCCCGCTAGATAACACGCTCTTTTTCTAGAAACTGTAAATAAAATCCTCTCTGCATAATTACAGTATAAACCACAGGTGGGCTCTTTCGGTGTTGAATAAACGCAAATGCGCCTGAGCAAGAGTCTGCAATAGGGATTGGCTAACCGCCCTAGTAGACGGGCATCCTCGGGTATATATGGCTCTACAAAATGATACAGGGAGTTATGTCTGGCTACTTATACAGGAAGAAACAATTGGAATTTCTAGTGCACATTATAAGGAAAGAGTGCTTGGAAAATCTGATACTCACAGGACAGATTGAAGGCAAGAGAAAAACAACGCATAACCTACCTAGCAAGCTTGAATAAATAGATCGTGCAACAGGGTTTAGGAGCGGTAACAAAACATAATTTATTGTTTGGAAATCACATTAAAAGTCGAAAGACATTTTTCTGGGCAAGGAATTCAACCAATAATTTTACTCCATCAAATTTCTGCAAATTTCAGTTTTTAAATCTAGAACGAAGATTTTTAATTTTTTTTTATTTTTAATTATTTCACGCCAAGCAAGTAATGCCAGTAGTACACAGAGGACTAAAGGGAATGAAAAATGAAAAGAGAAGACTGGGAATAGGGAGGATTGAGGAAAGGAGAAAAGATGGACGAGGATCAAGAAGACAGAAGATGGCAATTGATATTGCATTTAAATCTTTGAACATTCCACTTTTCAGGGAAGCAAGTAAACGGAAGTGAGTTCCACAGGTGGGAAGTGCGAGAAAAGAAACTGTTGGAACAGAAGTGGCGGCTGCATTTAGCTATTTCAACAGTAAAATGGTGGGACCTATGTGCCAATCTAGTAGCACGCTTAAATTCATGTAGTCGGAGTACCAGGGTAAAAAAGCTCATCAGAGCAGTTGCCATTAAAATATTTGTTGCAGCATACCTACGGACGATAATGGGTATGTCCCTATTAACATAAATACAGTAGTAAATACTGTATGTTGGTCTGCAATCGGAGATTCGTCTCCAGCTGTGCTGGTCGGACTCTCTGCCTCCGGGCGGGGAGGGTTCCCAGGCGAGGCTGTGTCGGAGGCGGGGTTTCGTCTCGGGGTGGCAGCTGCCCGACTTCGTTTTATATGGGGTCTACGGGGAATTTTGGGCTGAGCTTACGGGCACGGATACCCCGTATTAAATTCGACCTTGTGTCACATCTGACCGCGTGGGGTGGTTGGTAGATATCCTGCAGTTGGGATTCTCCAGCTGTGCTGGTCAAACTCTCTGCCTTCAGACGAGGCTATGTCGAAGGGTAGAGTCTCGTCTGGGAAAGCAGCTACCCGACCCCGTTTTATATGGAGTCTCCGGGGAAGTTTGGGCCGAGCCTACGGGCTACCTCACATTAAATTCGGCCTTGTACCACATCTGACCTCATGGGGCGGTTGGTAGATATCCTGCAGTTGGAGATTCATTGTGGAATTCATTTGACTCACTTCCAACAGTTGACTACTACTTCTACGCACCGCTGGCGAATCTTATATGTGTTGTTCTTGTCCTAAGTATTATCATTCATTACTTTCGTGTGATTATTCTAATCAGTAGCCTCTCCCAAGATTACAACATACACCTTGATATTTTTCGGAAACAATCTAATGTTCGTTTTCACTTCCCAAAATCCATTCGTAAAGATGTTCTGCCAGCGAGTTTTGTGATATAGGATTTTAACTGATAACGAATTGAAAGCCTTCGCCCAGAATAAAATATCCAATTACCTGAAAGAGGGCCTGAAAACACCAAAAGCACGGCAAAAATTTCGATCATATAATAATGATGCTATAACGTTGTGGGAAAATTAAATGAAACTAATATATATAAAATAATGATAAAGAATTAAAAAAAATTAATTAATTTTCCCATGATGCAAGTTATAAAGATACCGGAAAGAGCTTCTGGTCACATGTGCGATTTTATGATACCCACTTCTGGAAAGGACAGGATATTTCTCTTTCCACTTTTCAACACGATCGTTCGAATCTGTTTTCGGCAGCTCTTGTCATGAAGTGGAGATTTGGTCATCGCAACTCAGCGCGAGGCTGACTTGAGCTCGACTATCTTTACCTCATGAATTATTTCAGAACACAAAAGGAAAACTGATATACTCAATAGACCTTTTAAATTTGTTTCAATACAGTCAGCATACCCAGCTCAACTGTCCGTAGCAGAGGCTTAAGTTTTTTGTATGCTTCTTCTATTTTCTTTGTTTATATATTGAATACACGCGTTCACTTAAAAATACACACAAAACCCCACAAGTTTGTTAACATCCACAACGTCTCCTCCTGAAATTTTATTTACTAATTATTTTTCCTCAAGAGCAAAGATCGGTTCGTGTATAGCCCAGTTCACTCTCCTAACCGGTACTTTGAACAAGATTATAGGTTTATCCCTTGTTTCCTGTTCAAGATTGGGTTTCCAGTTCCTTCTAAAATCTTCTTCAGCTAACGTCTAATATCTCCGCCTGAACTCGGAAATTCTATTTACTAACTTTTTCCTACTCAATAGGAGTAGATAGGTTCGCCTATCGACCGGTTCACACTCCTCTCCAGTCTTTTGAACAGGAGTAGAGGTTTATTGATTGCTGAAAAGGAGTTGAAGTTTATCCATTGTTTTCTGCCTAAGATAGGGTTTCCGGTTCTCCCTAAAGTCTGTTCAGTCCCTTTCCTAGAAGACCCTTTCCGTCTTAGTGGCATTATCATCTTCCTTGCAGTTAATTCTTTTTAAAAATTGTTTAAAAAAAAGATTCAAATAATGACTCGAATCGTTAAAGCCTCACAAAAGAAGTTACTGGCGTTAAGGTGAGAAGTTGTTTTCTGCCCTTTCCTTCTGTTCTTTGAGTATCACATTTTCTAAGCCTTCTTTCCTTATTTTGAGCCCTATACATTTCAACAGTCTTTTCCTGTATAAGTGTTGTGTCGCAAATAGAAAAGTTAAGCATACATATAGAAAATAATAGGTACTTTATTTCGGAGAATAATATGGTACACGGTTGGGAACACAAAATAATGTAATAAACAGTTAATCGTTAAATCCTCGTTATTTAGCCGAGATTTCCCCACAAGGAGGGATGTGGAACAAGGCCAGATTTTTTACGTGGAGCGTTCCGAGCCCATAGGCTCGCTCGGGTAAAAATTGCCTGTAGATCACGTATACACGGGGTCGGGTAGCTGTCTATCTCCCCATAGCCTCGTCTGGTTTCCTCTTCGCAAGGAGACAGAGTTGACGAACAGAGTTAACTGTAATCGTTAATTCCCTTCCATTTACTTTCTTCCCTGATGACGACAAAGTTCAAAACTTTAAATGCAACGTCAATAGCCATCTTCCGACGACTTGAACTCGTTCATCTTTTATCCTTTGCTGATTCACCTTATACGCAATTTTTCTCTCACCTGCACTCTATGTAACCCTCCTGCGAATCAGTGGCACTCTAGCCTTGCTTGGGGTGAAATGCTTAAAAAAATAAAATCTATGTATCTATCTCAGTCTATTCGCATCTATCTATCTATCTATCTATCTATCTATCTTAGTCTCTTACTCTCCATAGGTTCACATCGATCTCAGGAACACATTTTTTCTCTCTGTCGCTTCATATATATATAGATAGAGAAAGAGATAGAGAGAGAGAGAGAAAGAGTTCAGTTGTTCTAATCTATCTATCTATCTATCTATCTATCTATCTATCTATCTCTGTTCGTATCTATCTATCTATGGAACTACGTATATATCTCAGCCAGTTCATATCTTGTCTACACGAAATATATATCAACCTGTCCGTTTCTCTCTCACTCTACCTCTTCCCTATCTATCTATCTATCTATCTATCTATCTATCTATCTATCTATCTATCTATCTATCTATTCAATTTTCTATCCATTTATCGCATTTCTTATATATCTCAACCTGTTAGTTTCTCTTTCCCTCTCACTATCTATCTGTCTATCTATCTATCTATCTATCTATCATATATATATATATATATATATATATATATATATATATATATATATTTATCAACATGTTCATATCTATCTGTCTTTCAATCTTTTGCCTATTTTTATCTGTTCTTATCTATCTGAGAAGAACAGATTTTTTCTCTCTGTCTCACTCAGGCACACTACATCTCTCTCCCTTTAACTCTCCCGTATCTATCTATCTATCTATCTATCTATCTATCTATCTATCTATCTATCTATCTATCCAATTTTCTATCCATTTATCGCATTTCTTATATATCTCAACTTGTTAGTTTCTCTTTCACTCTCACTATCTATCTATCTATCTATCTATCTATCTATCTATCTATCTATCTATCTATCTATCGTCCTTTTTCAGTCAGTCCCTCTTTATTCCCTTGCCATTCCCTTCAATCCTTTTCAGTTTTTATCTCCTCCTTCTCTATCCCTTGATTTTTCTTCTTACTCTCCCCACTTATATATCCCCCATCTCCCACACTCTCCACTTCCTTTACACGCCCATACACTACAAGTTTTATTGCTTCAATTGTTACTGTTTGTCAATCCAAACGGCGTGACAAAATCGAAAATCATTATTTTATGAACCAAACCGCGCTACACTAAACAACTTCCGGTCACCACAAAACATGTCACCTAAAACCGGAAATCGGAAATTTGAACACCGCCGCGACTCACGAAAATCGTTCTTCCGGCCTGACATCCGGTTTGAGTTGGCCACATTTCCGGTATTCGTCTCGAATTCATTCGATTGCTGAATAACTAAATAACGTTTTTATTTCGCGCCTTTTTTAATGGGACATTAAGATCGATGCGGACATTTTGTTTTTTTCTCTTCTTCTATGTCAATAAAAATCCGTCGTTTGAATGTGGACAATGTGTTCTGATAATTCTGTTTGATAAAAAAGGACAATTAGAAGCTGAGGGAACGAATGAAAAAATAAAGAAAGAAAAAATAGCAAAAAGAAACTTGAAAATAAAAAAAAAGCAAAAGGTGGGACCGCCTGAGGATTTGTAGATTTCCTGACGACACCTTAATCCATTCGCTGTAAGAGCGAAATAAAAAAAAAAAGAAAATAACATTTTTAATGCATTTTTTTTCAGAAAGCTTATCCTGTTGAACTAAGAAGGTCACCGTAATCTTCCTATTATGTAATATTCCTACTTTTTCTCTCTATTTGGCTTGTGATCTTGTGTTATATGACATCTCCTGGCATTTTCTTCTTTTACAATGATGTGCAAACCCCAAGAGTGACTCAAGGTAGAGAGTTAAAAAATAAGAAGCACAGTTTATGAGGATGCTTAGAATATTGCTGCCACATATGATGCTATTTATCTAGAGCTCCTTGATAAACTCCAAACAAGAATCAGTATTATTATTGGTCTTGACATGGCATCTCGGTTTCATTCACTTTCGCACCACCATAATGATGCTTCCCTCTGCCTTTTCTATAAATATTTTCATGGTAATTATCGGATAAGCTCTTTACTATTCTGTTTAGTTTCTTATAAATAGTTTTGTTTTCATATTGTAAATTCTCATTGGGCTGGTTTTTAAATTGTTGCTTTATTCCTCTCCCTCCTTCCGAAGACAATGAATTGTACATATAGGGACTAGGTCGTATTTTCATAGAGACAATGAGGTATTATGGAGAATGTAGTAAGAAAGTTAAATAAGAATGTGTTATTTTACTGTTAGGAATATTGTTTGTATATTTGGGTCAGTGTTTGTGGCTAGCTTAGTTTAAAGTTAATAGAAGACCGTCCTTTTTCACACTCCCCATTTTGGCCTTGCGCCACATTTTCTGTACATAGCAGAAATAAATATCGCTCTTCACTATAGTACGTAGACTTAAGTGCAGTACTGCAGTGGTGACAAGTTCTCATCAATTTACGGTTGAGCTGGGTAGATGCAACCGTAAGTTCTATACTAACAGTTTCTTTTCTCGTTTGTGGAACTCCCTTCCGGCTCCATGGTTGCCAGTAAAAATTTGGTTTTCAAAAATTTAAATGCAATATCAATCGTTATCTACTGTCTTCTTGATTTCTCTTCTATTGTTCTCGCTCCTTAATATTTTTTCTCTTTTTCTTATTCTTTCACACTTATTAACCTCTCGTATCTTAGTGGCTTTACTGCCTTACTTGGAATAATGTTACTCAAATCCACAGACTGGTATGGCATTTTCCAGTATGAACGGATGTTTCCTTCCTAACTTTTTCTTTTAAGTATTGTAGATCGCCAACATATTGCGTATGTCATTATTTTCTTTTTGTATTACATGGGCTATGCCTTTTAGTTGTTACTGTTGGTCTAAACGTGTGCTTCTATAATTCTAACGCTGTATTTACTTAATACCACACCACACATTAACCCTCTACCTTGAGTGGGTGTTGTGCCTAATATTGGGTGAACATTAGTTTAGTAAAAAGATATTTAGGCAGCATTTATCGTTGCTTAGAAATCATCTATGTAACAATGACAGCCTATCATCACTGTCTTGTCCGTATATTGCCTAATATGTTGCAATTGACATTTTTGATAATGGCTTATGTAAGCCTAAAGCTTAGATTGTATTAAAAAATATGGATCAATATTGGGAATTTCTTTCTTCGTTTAACGATAATGTTATTAAACTTATCAGACGTTACAAAAAAAAATTACATAAAATAAATAGACAACACTTGTCTATATTAGTTAATGAAACGTGCATATATATATATATATATATATATATATATATATATATATATATATATATGAACCTAAAGAGCCAGGTAAACTTACCTAGGTTTCAGCTACACGGATTATCAGGGTAAGCTGACCCTGAAGATCCGTATAAGTGAAACCTAGGTAGGTTTAACTGGCTCTTTAGGTTCATAGTTAGGTTTGCTGTACTTAGCGTATTGAGCACTTTACGGAGTTATTTTGCTTTACTCGTTTTGGTGTTTTTTTTTTCTTTGGACCTTATTTTCTCTTGGGAATTGGTTTGTTCAAATACAAGCTAAAATACCTAAGGTTTTTTTTCCAAACAGTATCAGTATTTATATTATTTTGATATATATATATATATATATATATATATATATATATATATATATATATATATATATTCATGAATTATTCACACAAAAACTAATGCAAAAATTAATGCCGTATTAGTTCTTATTTTTACTACAAGCTTTCGTCTGTTCCTACAGACATCTTCAGGTATAGAATAGATGTTGTTCTTGTTTTTTCTCTTAGTAATAAGAGGACAACGAAAATATATGTATTGTTGTATCCGAAAATGCTATTGAAAATGAGTTATTGTTTTTGGAGCGCGCAGTAGCAACGCTGAGTTTGATTTTAAATTTTTAAAATAAGAACTAATACGGCAGAAATTTATATAAACAAGGATCATTTCATTCATAACGGATTCGGAGGTTTTTGTATATTATTAGAATTGTTTACGATGATGGATTTCTCGCCAATTAAATCATTAACCTTTGCATTAGTTTTTGTGTGAATAATTCATGAATTTGTAAATTGATTGCACGTTTATCGTAATATATATATATATATATATATATATATATATATATATATATATGTGTGTGTGTGTGTGTGTGTGTGTGTGTGTGTGTGTGTGTGTGTGTGTAATGGATTAATAGATAGCGACTCGGATTGAGGAATCGAGGAGCCGAGTTCGAATTCCAGTCGAATCCATTGCATTCACTTACGTGCTAATAACCTTGGAAAAGGTATGAATCCTCTTCTCTCTCACACGGCTACGGGTAAATTAGTAGTACAGACCGGGTTCTATAGCCTTGGATGGCAACTGGTCTACCGCAGAAAGAAATAGCAACCTACTGCAGGAAAATATTTGCGTCGTCAGTCATGTATCGAAAGATACATGATCGCCTAAGTGTGTGTGTGTGTGTGTGTGTGTGTGTTTCATTAAAAACGACAGACAACAAGGTACTATGATTAAGCTTTTTATTTAATTCTTCTTGTGTTTGAACAAGTGTTTTCTTTTCTGGACACAGATTGTGTAGATACTGTCCAAATCTTCTATGATTCCAAGCGCTTTCGGCTATACTTTTAGTCATTATAAAAGATGATTTTATTTCTTTCAATCTAATTGGGTGTGTACATTGTGTGTATGTTTTAGTGTTATAGAGATGTTTAATTTTCTGACACAGCACATTGTGGTTGTGTTTGTAGTTAATATTAAGTGTTGGCTTTTTCTTTTTTTTTTATTATTAAGGCTTCCATTATTTTTAATCTTTTTTTACATGTGGATGAGGTTATTATGTTTGTATTTTCTACTAGTATGTTTCGGATGGAGTCTGGTAAGTTTGTGTTTAAATGGGTTTTAATAGATCTGTAATTAGATAGGTGTAAAGTAAGGCGTCTGGATAGGTATGTAGTAGTTTGACCGATGTAATTATTTATGAATTCGGTTTGATCAGGAACACAGTTCCTTAAGGGACATTTGAACTCATAGATAATGTTCGTTCTTTGTAATTTTGATTAAATGGTGTGTTGTTATTTTTGAGGATAAGGTTAGCTGTTTTAAAATTTTTTTATAGTAGATTATTAATTTGATTTTTTATTTCGGGTCAGTTGGGGTAGTGTATTTCTTTATGATATTTCTAAGTGAAGATTCATCTTGTTTGAAGTTGATGTGCATTTGGTTTTTGTAGAAAATATTTATGTTATTTTTGACAACGAACTATAAATTCAAATGCAGCTTAATACACAATATATATATATATATATATATATATATATATATATATATATATATATATATGTGTGTGTGTGTGTGTGTGTGTGTTCAGTGTGTGATGGGTAAATTGTTGACATTGTATTTTTTAATTTCGTGCATGCGCGTTGTTTGTTTTTGATTTTGTCGACTTCACGCTATAGTAGGGTCAGTTGGGCACCATCCGTGAGAAAAAGAGCCACGTGACGCAATTCGCTCCGTCAGCAATTTGGAAACGTTACGCTGTACTGCTTGGCATTCGCACCGGAAGCTTCAATACGAACATTTCAGAGTGTTTGTGTGACAGTGCAGAGAATTCAGAAAGAGCTGGATGAAGGTACGTAAGCACAGAAAACTCACTCTGATCGTTCTGATAAGAAAGAACTTCCGAATTTGTTGTTGAAGGTCTCAAACAAAACAAGTAGGCCTACATCAAGTGCCTTGAGAAAGTAATAAAATAATATTACTGCCAAAAGGTCACGAGGGTGGCTGCTGGAAGACGCGATGTCTGGCGACAGGACTGCGCATCATGCCACACAAGCAGGAGAACCAAGTCCTTGCTGTCAGTCAATTACTGCGACCACATCACCTCTTACATCTGGCCACCTAACTTATCAGACTGCAATCGCCTTGATTATTATGTGTGGGGCGAAGCTGAGCAGAAGACCAACAAAACTCCTTGTAACA